TTGTAGTGAACGTGGTTTCCATCGATGGTCAAACATAATGCAAGGAATTAATGTTTTATCGTGAAATTAGAGGCAATTAGATATTAGGCTACGATTCGACGTTACGACAAATGACCTACGTCTAGGCTTTTATAGCAAGAACAAATTAAAGAACAAAGATTCAACTTTCAACTCTCAATAAAAAATAAATAATTTTTTTTTCATAACTGCGTTTTTAAAAGTACGTATATAATAATATTATATACAGCATAGCTATAATTTATAAGATCATAAATTAAATCTCGAAAGGATTACATTATCAATCGGCATTGTAAATCATAAAATCTGAATTAGATTGATTTCCGAAGGATCGATCGGATTTATCTGTGTTGGATGTTAAAGAAAAACGATTGATAGCATCCTACACGAACTATCGCAAAGAATCGACTCTCCGACCGATCTGGCATATCTTGCTAAGGACATAAGAAGGAAAATTAATGTGAAAAACTAATAACCTCGGAACATTTCCCGCAGAGATTCCGGAACGCGTCCTTCCCACTCGTAGATGGAAATTACAAGGACGCCCACAATAGGGGCCACCGGGCTTGGTGATCGCAACATTACGGATGTATAGGCCAATTTGTAAGCAATCCAACTTAGATTCGCCGGGCAATATTATATTTTTACGTTATCTTTCTTCCCGGCAATTCACATCCTCTCTCCCCTCTTTCCCGTATACGTGATTCGTTCAGATGCAACCGCGTTTATTTTTATGCGGCAAGTAATTGTCTTCATCAAAATCAGAAATCAGAAAGCGCACCGTAAATATTGTACGCAATTTAATATTTTCGTATACTGATAATGATAACTGATAATAAAATTATTTCTTATTTTTCACACATGAAACGTTTTATTGTATTGATGTATTTTGTTGCTTCGTTGTAAAATAATTATTTGAAAATATATTTTTCGAAGTGTTTCTGAATTAATGAACTACAAACTATTTAGGATATTCTTAATATTAATATTAAGTTTTTAATTAGTTGTTTATTTTTTATAGCTAACCAAAAATTTCAATGTGAAAAAGTTACAATATTTTATAAGCTTGTTTATTATTAATATATGTATTCTTATTAATATATGTATTTATCGCAGTTTTCAAATATGCATTATTATTTTAGAACAATTTTTAGAGAAAGAGTAGTAATATTTACACTGAAAAAAAACTAAATTTTAGTAAATATTTGTTTGAGTTGTTTTAAGTAAATATTTACTAAATGTAAACATATTTATTTGATACGAAAACCACTAATTTGATTTAATTATCATTTTTTATTGAGTAAATATTCATTTACTGTAAGTAAACGTTTACTCAGAACTATTCGAAGAAATATGTATTAAGTATTTAGTAAATTTTTTTCCATGCAGATTCCAATAAAAATGCAATATAACGAAATGCATTACGGATCACATCGCGTAAAAAACGACATTAAATAGTGGCAGAAGACGTACGCGGATAAATAGGCGGGTGATTTATGAAGTGGCGAAGAGACACGTGTCTGTTCCGTTCTTCCTCCTTCGCTCACCTTAAGCTCGTGAGGCTGCCGGTTCTCGCGCAGGGGTTGCGGAGGGTTCTCTACGCTGCCGACAGTTTTGGTCCAACATCTGCCCCCGAAAAAACAAAAGCCCATTGTCGCTAACGACCGGTCGCGCGTCTCTTGTTTCTAACCGAGCGCTTTTGAATCGTAGGCGAATAACGGATCCGAGAGAGCCCGTCCATTCAAGCGACTCACCGTTCCTTCCTTTCGCTCTCGCTAAACCTCTCTTCGGTCGTCGTATCCAACTCGACCGATTTCCTTTTTTTCACTGGCAACAGGACCACAAGCCAGACGTCGCCTCGCCTTACCTCCGGGGTTTTTATCGAAAATTTTATCGGATTTTCACCATCGTTATTTCGTTCCCTTCTTTCATTCGCGTTCGATTGTCAACGACGATCTCGGACAAACGCGAGATTAAAATCTCGCGTTCCTACGAAGAATGCGGGACGTCGCCGAGGCGCAATTGTCTCGTTCGAACACGAGTCTCGAGACACCGAGACTTTGCGAACTTATCTCGCTTCCTGCTACCGTCATTCTTCCGGTGAAAAACGAGAAGCTGCAGATAGCAGCCGCGAAAAAAAGTTTCACTGCTCGTACGGAGCGATTCTAAATGGTAAAGGGCCAAAAAATTGATTCTTATCGGAATCTCTCGATAGTTTAGATCTATGGAAAAATATTTTTATAGCCTCATTCTTGGCTTGTTGTAAAGAAAGTACATTGAAACGCGATATCGACGAATTGTTATGGAATGTTGCCGAAATATATCTATACATCGTTTGAGTTGTGATAATTTTACGATGCCATTAGGAAGTTATCTGTTTTTGAGAATGTTGAATTTATAAATATACATATAATAGATCGGGTAATCTTTGTGTTCAATAAATTCTCATATATTTGGCAATGCACGCAAAACATGATGCCAAAAATCTCTTGGAGACTTATACTTACATTATTAGATATAATCAAAAATTCATACAATTATAAAAATTTTTTTGTCTCGATATGAGTTCAATAAATTACTTAAATATTTTATCTAAAAAAATAACTATAAAATAAGTAAAGAATTAATTAAAGATATGTAAAATAGCTATAATTGACTGAAAACTGACTGTAACTCAAGTTTGATCGGGATGTAGTTCACATCCTAAAGGGTTGAAGCATGCTCGAGTTTGCGCCCTGGCCATTGGTCAAGCGAGCTCCGCCCAGAAAGAATCGAACGCCGTCGCGCACCGACGAAAAGCGAGAAACGAAGAAGGAGACAGCAGTAGTTAGGGGTAAACCTCGGGGTAAACAAACAGGGGTGGTATAAAGGCTGCAAAAAAAAGAAGCGTACGAAAGAGAAGAGCGAAGATCCCTCGAGAAGCGCCACGACGAAAGTGAGACGAAGATACGTAACAAAAACGGAGACAAAGGGAGAAACGAAAGGCGAGACAGGAGCGAAGGGAGAGGAAGGGGGGCAGAGAAAACGACTGCCAAGACGGTGGAGTTTTTCTTGTTTCGTCGGGAGCTTGGTGTGTCCCCATTCGGATAGATACAGACACTCAACTCGACGAGGGAAAGATCGATGTATGAAACTCCTGCCAATCTCTATGTTAATGCGCGAAACATATGAGAGAAAGGACATAAGACGTCGCGAGGAGTTCTGGTATAGTTTCTCTTGAAGGACACTCAAAAGTGAATTGTTACGTCTGCGGCTGACCTCGGGGCCCTTTGCCCCTTGGACGACGGTGAATTATAACGGTTGCGTAAGAGGAAATTAGTCCTGTTTGTTACGAGGAAAGTTCGCTCGTCCAGATTAGGCGAATACCGTCTGTGGTCTATTTATCGTTAAAAGGAAATAGAAGATTGAATCATGAAAATAAAAAAAGGAAACTTTATTTCGGAACCGAAATTTTACGGGAGAGATAAAATAATCCCTTTATTTTCTTATGCATATGCAGTATATATGGTATATGGAAAGAATGGTTTTGCTCAAATATTTAAAAATTTAGCTAGCTGTTAAATCAAATTAGAAAATAATTTTGTTAAACCATCAAAATAATTATGTAGAACGTTTAAGTGATGACAATGCTGCAAAAAAATTTTAATATTCTAGCAAACAATTTGAGTATCTTACATAATTATAATGATACAACAAAATTTTTTCAGATCTTGCGATCTAACTAAATTTTTATACAATAAGAAATAGAAATAACTGTAACGATCAAATTATTGATTAAAGATCTAGCTTTGACCGTTACGACCATTACTTTTATTTCTTATTGTTAAATTTTCAAATATACGGTTCAGTAAAATTCTTATTGTTTAAATTTTTATATACTTGAGTAAAAAATTCTTCTTTGCTCTTTCCGTATGTATTGATTCCTTCTTTCTCTATATATTGATATCTTCACTATTTTCTAAATGAAAAGCAAGATGTGTCATAGAGTTTTCAAACTCGTTATTCAATTTCATTAAAATAAATATGATGTCTAGTTTTGATTTCCTTAATTTAATTAATCGCTATCATACACACACATATCTATACAAATACAAGTTTTACGGCTCCCGGCGAAACGAAATGCTCATCGAATCGTTCGTTTTGATATCTCATCACGGGATTATGGCTGCAGTCAGTTAATAGGTATCGTAAATTGTAATGATTAATGCCTCGCTGTGAATAATGCGCAAGACATATGTCTACACTTTGTTATATAATGGCATCTATAACGTGTACATATCGATAGTAATAAGCCGATATTGCTTTCACTATTCGTAGTCGGAGACGAGAAACGATAATTAGGTTTCCTTTTTTTGCAATACGATTGCATTAATGTGTTGTTTATTATACAATAGAATTGAATATTATGTACCATCAAATTTTACGTCATATAAATAACGTAATTTTATATTACTATAGATACTAATATAGAGAAAATGATTTCTCAAATAAACAACAGTGATAGAAATATAATATTATTATATTCTTTTTAAAGTCTAAACAGAAAGCACGAATATCCTATTTTTAAAAGTCAATAACGACAATAAATCTCGATAATCTGCTTAATATTTTTATATTAATATTTTAATATTTTAAAATAATATCACTATCAATTAATAATTCAAGAACGGTTGATGTTCACATTACTATCACAAAAAAATTAATCAAATATATAAAAATTATATAATTAAATAGAATTAAATAAGAAATAAGTGTAGCAAACTCGAAACTATATATGTGTATATATATCTCTCTCTCTTTCTCCCTAAAACTTTTAGAGTGAATCTCACTCTAAAGAGTAAAATCTTACTTTTTTCAAAATTGGTTCAATTTTCATTCTTTAGAGTGAGATTCCAAAGAATTTAAAGAGTTATAATCATATTAACTCGCCAACTACTTAATAAAAATTCCATCTAAACGAGATGTATCTCTCTCTGTTACAGCGGAAACCTCGCAAAGTACTACGTCCCCAGACACCGTCCAATGCGGGGGCTGCAGGGCGTCCTACCCCCTCGGAGAGATTGTCCGGTTCATCGAGCATAAGGTCAATCATTGTCGGAACACCCTCCAGGGCTGCCACAGTCCACCGGCGACGGCCGCGCCGGAGGACTCTGACCCGGAGGACGCTCTCACCCTGAAGACTACCGATCCAGACTCGAAGTTGAACTCGGTACCCAGCATCTCTGCGCCCATCAACAAGAGGAGTGGCCGATTGGAGAGTCCGCCAACGCCTCAGGGTCCGGGGCCGGATACCGGAAGTCCGATCGACTTGAAGGCAAGCGCCAGCTCGACACCAAAAAGACGGACGGAAGCACCGGACGAGGACAAAGAGGATCTTCCGAAGAAGCAGAAAACCGAGTCCGTGGATGCCGACACGAACACAGTCAATTCTGGTAAATTTCTGCGCTTCTCTTTCTCTAGATTATTTTATTACGTATTTCATTTCAAGTAACAAATAAATGTTGGAGCGTTTTATTAGAACCAATCAATAAATTTGTATTGTGTTGTAAAATGAAATATGCAACGTGAGATTCAGTCATGGAATAATAACTCTTATGAAATAATTCAAAGGTCTGATTCCCAATTTCGCGTTCGGCTTTTGTATCATAGATTCTGAATTTGGCAACAGTCTGAACGAGAAAATATGTCAGGGGTTTCCTATCGTAGTAGGTGTGCATCGAGAAAACTATCGCGCGAGGAAACTATATTTCGAAATCTTTCTGGTTTGGCGAATTGTTGGTTTGCTCGAAAAGGGTGGAAGAGGGTATTTTAAAGTACAGTTATAGGGGGCTGCCATGTGATGTCGAACCTGGCCGAACGGACACGAACAATGGATCAGTGAATTCGATTTTTGAATTTAAACCGCCCGCTCAGGGATTGGGGTGAACCTGCCCCTCATGCCTCCTTTCCCGCCGCTCCTCTGACCCCCTTTTGTCGGACAGTACATTGTCGTATGTCGAAGGGTTTAACGCGCGAGTGTTCTCATTCGGCGACGCGACATCCTGGATACGAAAATCTACGATATCTTCTTCGTGTTTTTTTATGTAACATCGAAACGAAGTTGAACAATTGTGTTTTGACTTTTTAAATTGTAAATTTGAATTATATAAGTTTGCACTAAGATTGCTATTACTATAAAAAAAAAAGTTTCGAAAGGGAAATATATTTTATTTAAATAAAATTATTGTATTATTTAAAATAAATCTAGATCTAAAAATTATATATAATATTGTTAATTAATATATTGTTCTAATTCTATCTTTCCGTTTTTATAAATATATACAGATAAAAGTATTTTTACCTTTCAACGAATAAAACAACATATATATATTAATATGTATATTAATTTTGCAAGAATGATTTATATAATAATTAATAAATTATCTTTATTTCATATTATGATAATATATATTTATTATATATATTATTTATTATATTCAAATCAAAAAATATATATTTATTATTATAAGTTTTGCCATATACTTAAAGGCAATTTTAATTTTGCAACAACAAAACGATTCTATATATAAAATTGAATTAGTTTTTTTTATTTTTCTTCGCAGTTAAATTATTTTTACACGATAGTGTACGAGAAAAGTTTCGTTGCGAATATCTCAAAAATGTCAACAGTTAAAAAATATTAGCAAAACAAGTCCATTTTTTTAAATTAATAAAAATCATATCTTTATAAAATTATGAATTTATAATCGTACATTCATATCTATAATTCAATACCTTAAGAATTATGAATTGTTATATCTGCACATGTGAATAATTCATCTCTCGAATTACACAAAATTGATCTCATAAAATATCAAAAAGGCTCAATCAGAATAAATCAGTAATTGAAAAAAGGGTTACGAGCCATACGTAATGGCTCGTATATATAACTCTTTTTTCAATTACTGATCTCATAAATATTATTTAAATCGTTCATTACTTGTATTTGCAATGAAGAACCCGAGTCCACTAAAAAAAGATGGAAAAATAGATATAAATTTGTATCGCTTCGAGAAACGAGGGCGACTGAAATTCGTGGACGAATTGTATCTCCCAAGGATCAGCACGTCGGCGGTCGCACACCGGTGTCTCTTTAAAGTTTCATCACGCTCTGTGGCACTCTTCCCAAACCCTCTTTTGCTAGCTACACGTTCCAGCAGCGAGATAGAGAGTTAACCCTTTCCGAACTGGTCCACGATCATAAGAATACTCCTCGTTCGTGCTCATCCCGCCGCTCGTCCGCCGGTTAAGCCCCTTTTGTCGCCTTTTTTATCGGATTTTTTGCTACCGGACAACCACGTCGAAAAGCCCAATTAGAATCGTCCTATTGTTCGGCCACGTGGTCCGCACGAGCCGTCCACGCGAAAGCGTGCCCATATGGGCGGACGTGCGCTGTGCCGGTGTATGTTAGACGATCAAGTCTCGAGCGTTACGTACGAACAGGTAAAGCAATGCGTATCAGATACACGCACGTGGGGTGACATTGACAGGATATGCCAGGACCCTCAATACTTGAGCCGGTATAATCCCCTTCCAATAATTCTAATATTTTTATATTTTTTTTTTCGACTATGAGACACACAAAAAATGACGGTAATACGATTCGATATTTTTTCTAAAGTAGAAAATACTTTCCAAAAATAAATTTTTCTTCATTTTCATATAATTGCGTTCAAAGAAGATACACATTTTAAAAAATTCGTGATTTCAAGAAAAATTCAGTTATATGCAAAAATAGAGAACAAGCAGAGCGAGCACAGCGTAAGAGAATGGTGTTGGAAAACCGTGACGGACGATATACGTCGAGAGGAAGGCTGAAGGGTATATAGGAGGAAGACGGAAAAAGAAGACGAAAAAGGAGCGATAATCCGTCGAAATTGACACCAACCAGCGCTCCCGGTGAGATGCAGATTTGATCTATCTGTCACGTTTGTCTGAGAATATTAATTCTCGTCCGTGGGTGAGGTTTTTCTCTGGCAGCTTTATGGCTCCTTTCCGACCCTCCCGCGTTTCTCCCGCCATCCTTTCCTTCCTAGCAAAGTCGACGACTCCCCGGACCGCCCGAGGTGAGCAGAGAATTGCTTGCGAATTGGCTGTCGCTCGGGGTTTCGGGATCCTGCAACTTTCTCGTCCTTCATCCTTCCGTTTCCTCCGTTCTCGCGGAAGGAAGTCGACAAGAACGGTGTGCGAGCGATATGTCTAAAAACTGGCGTCACAAACTTTTTCGGCTATGTATCACGCGAATCACCGGAATCAGCCTGCTTGTATTTTATTTTATGCCTTTTCGCTATTTCATTTTTTGTTTTATTTTGATAATTTGAATATTTTATATGCAATGTAATATTTAATCACACATATTTTATGAATAATATTTTTTGTTGATGAGATGATGAAAAGAACGACATATGAGAATCGCGCGCTAATATGAAAATCAACATGTATCATCAATAAGATGGGTCCTTTGAGAAATTTACTTCCGTTTCGACTACTCCAATTCATACTTTACCTTCTTTCTTCTTTCCCAACAGCCACTTTTCTCGCTTCTTTTGCTCATCCCTCGCACGCCTCGTGTAAAAGAAAGCTCGAGAGAGAGAGAGAGAGAGAGAGAGAGAGAAAGAAAGAACAAGAACGTCATCAAAGCTTACAAAGCTCAGAAGTTCAATATACACGACTTCAGCACGCTACGACGCGTTTAAATTACCAGGTCGAGTGGCTTTTTGATTAATTTTTTTTCCTTACATCCTTGTGCCGTAAAACGAGTCCGTCATCCACGTTTTCCTCTTTCTCTCGGTGGTATACTGTACTACAGAAAAATTGTACCTGCAAAAGCAGATCTTTCGATGAGAGATAGATAGTCCTAGATTTCGCTCCAACGTTCTCAAGTTTGTATTACTCTCGATTTTTTTAGATTAAACATTGCTCTTTGAATACATTTGATTTTATTTATAATACATAAAAATTCAATCTTATATATTCACTGTTGTTGTCTCGCTTTAGAGACATGTTCTCCTCGTGTCAAGTTATGAAAAACTCGAATAATAAACTCTTTTAATAAATTGTGACTCTGCCCTCTCTGAAAGGGTTAATAGCGAGTGGTCCATTCGCAAGGTTTGCGGTTTGGACGGACAAACTGAGTAACGGAGGACATAAAGGATCGTGAAGCGCAGTCTGACCAATCCTATCGCGAAATGGGTAGTGACCACAAGGAGTATGTTACGCGACCATTCGAATATTCGTTTAGAGGCTGGAATTGTACCGGTCGACATATTCACGATTTTAACAGCTTTGGTTCTTTGTCGCGCGACACTCTGCGGTAGGTTGAACAGATCGTAAATAAAAATTCACTGGAAAAAATGCTACGGTTAGATGATATTGAACGGATATATATTATTGCAATAATACTAAATACGATCTTTTATATTTTAGTAATGCAATATATTGGTTGATAATTGATTAAATCTTATTGGAATTGTTGAATTTTATAGTATATCCAAATTACGCGAAAATGTACGTATGTTTAAATTATGAAAAAGTTAAATAATTTTAATATATCCGTATTTTTAAAATAACTAAAATTATCTGAATTTGTTTGAAGTGTATTTGACATTTAATGTAACAAAGATCACACATCATATATCCTGTTATTTTTTTATATTATTTAATTTCTTTGTTTACTACGAATTCTTTTTGATATGTGTTGAATACTTCTCGTTACTGTGATATAATATTTATCTCAGTTGGTTATTTAATTAATGGGTCCAGTAAAATGATTAAAATCACCCGCAAACTATCCACGTGGACATGATCCGTTGTGTGTTGTCCCTTTTAAGTGCAGCCCTTGTATCGACGACAAAGTGCATACGTCGCATACGTTAGCTAATCGATATTTTAATATTGTCACACGCCATTCCGGATTAAAGGCCTTTATGTGTGTTTGTTGTGTGTGCATGTATGTGTATATCATGACGTCATTGAGCGGCAGATGTCCTGTCCAAAAAGATTTCCGAGAGTGCGACACAATGTCCTTTACACGATTAAAATTTGCTCGTATGCACAAAACCAAGCATAACACTTACGATGCGATCGCAAATAATCCCTTTCAACTTGTATACAAAATTTTCAAACATTAATATGGCAAAAAAGATATATATAACCTCATAATTTCAAAGTCGTTCAAAATTTATAATAGTTATTTGATTAAATTTAAACGTGTTTCGTTACTAAAATTTAAATATTTAATATATATTTTAAATAAGTAAATATATATATTTTTTTAGTTTAACAAAATTTGCTTATATTCCTATATTTACATATCGATCAACGCTACATATTTAACGTTTTTTATTTGAACATAACTAATTGATTATTGTATGAAAATTACTGAGCCTTTTATTTATTTTAAATTTTGAAAAAATAATTTACATTTGTATTTCGATTTGTACTTCAGGGAGGCAAATTTAAAAACCTATGGAAACGTATTATATTTTGAGAAAAATTGATAGACGGGAGTTCGTGTTAAGTCTTCCGTAAAAGGGTTGAAAGGAAGTATTCGTAGGATGACCGAGACTCGAATCGTTGTTAAACAATGGCGTTCCGAACGATTTGCCCGTAAACGTCGCATAGGCCAATTTGACGGGCAATTTCTGAAGAAAATCGGTCGGTCACTATCGTTGGAGGGCCGAGTTTCATATACAGACATATTGTTCATTTGATTCTGGTGTCCCTTCTGAGCACGAATCCTATTTCGATCCACAGAGAAAAAGATTTCTTTCAATTTAATAAATTTTATTGTATCCAAATAAATTTATTTGGAATGGTCCAAACAAATCAATGTTTGAATCAATAAATATGATTGTTTGAATTTAAAATAATGTATATATCTTCGTCATAAATATATTATTTGTTTGAACAGACAATGTCTATCTTCGGCATTCGCGTGACCAACTGTATGACATAAATACAATTGATATATAGCACATAGCACTGCTTGTTTAATCTTGTTGTTAGACATATAAACCGTTGATTCCGTAATTCCGGCTAAAAAATGTAATGGTTGTTGTAAGAAAACAATTATTTGCATGGAACAATCCCTATCAATATGATTTGCCATTTTCAAATAAATAATTTGTTTCATTATTCATATTCATTATAACCAAATAATATATTATTTGGTTGAAAGATATTACTTTAAATAATAATGTTATTTCTGTCAAACAATAGAGGTTTCTCGAATGAAACAACAACATTTTTATTCAAATAAATAATGTTTTGTACAAGCATATGTTGTTTCAATGAAACAAATTTTAATCAAATAAATAGGAATATTAAATCCAAAGAAACCTCTATTTCTGTGCCTTTAAACTTCTCTACACGAGTATACATCTCGAAAAATATTGAAGTTGTATGTAAATTGTATTATAATGCGCACGTATTTTCTCTCTCTCTCTCTCTCTCTCTCTCTCTCTCTCTCTCTCTCGTCGATCAATAATTTTATTCCTCTGATTACTTTCACACGTGTTCTTTAAAGAGCAACCCTTATAATATAATATTAAATTAAAGCTGGTAATTATTTTATAACTTTCACTTCATAAGTAATAAAAGATAATTACATCTATTTTTCACACAAGTAAAGTTCGTTTAAAAAAAGTTTGTGACTATGTAATAATCTATTGTGTGATAATACGCCAAGACGATTGTGCATATCGAATTCTATACTTATTATCCGATAAAAAAAATCACCGCGAGCGATAACGCGCACCCGAATTGCAACCAGCTAACCAGCCATTTCCTATAGACATGGTCATGAAATCTGGAGAAATAATCCTAACAGATGGCTACCCGCGAAGTTTGCATATGAAAAGCGCTGGGTCGTGAATCAATACACCTTTATTATGCTCAAGCACTTGCTTATCTCTCTTCCCGTCGGCATCTTCCTTCCCCGGGGAAGTCGGCAATATTTTCGACTTCTAGGGAAAAAAAGAACCGCCCGGACGTTCAGGAAAAGGACGAGGGCGAGGAAAAGTAGCGTGGTGAATGCTCGAAGCGTGAAACAATACACCGAATTTTCGCGCTTCACCACTCGGTTCTGGCGCCTGTTTCAGGATGACTCGACCGTCTGGTCCTCACTCTTCTTTATGATTTTCTTTCTCTTTGTCTCACATATGTTTTAATTTCTGTCCGGAGCCGAAACTTTGAGCCAATTTGTATTTCATGTTTTTTCTATTGAAGAATCAAACTGAAGATGACTCGAGAAAATTTCAAAGTCTGAAAAGTTTTACTCATTTCGAACTACAAGTCTTTTCCTTGATATATGTATGCAATTTCTGTTATTCTTTTATGTTTCCATTTAATTTGAACCGAGAATTATATAGCGGACAATGTAAACAAATTCTGGAAAAGAAAAGGTTATTTCAAAAATGTTATGATTTCATAAAATTTTGTTTAGATTCTTATAAATTTCATTTTTATATAAATAACAATATTATTTTTATTAATTTATCAAAATATTTAATATAATCAATATTAACAACTTACAAATATTGTCTATCTAAAAAGTATATAAATAAATAACATCATATGTAAGCATAACAAACATTTTTCAAGAAAAATTGAATTGAGAGTTGGAATCTCAATTAAAAAGTAATAGTCTTTTTTATGAAACTTCTACAAAAGTACAGTTTAACTGTACAATTTTTCTTTGAGAACAAAAAGTTGAAGTATTAAAGTTGAAGTTGCCAGAAATACGATTATACAATTAAAACAATTCATTTTTTATATAAGCTTTTCTTCCCGAACAAAGTTCTTAGTAATTCAGGAAATCGTCGAGGATATCTTGCCTATTCATTTGCGATCTTTGTGCCTTGTTCCTCTGCGACTTTCTCCACGTTCTTTCTGTCAATCGAAAAATCACGCGCGTCAATGAGATGAGATTGCAACGAGCGTCTCTCATTCCATACTTGCTATGACGCGTAAACGCTGCAAGCGTAATCCTGGTGAAAGGTCAGCAAGGCGAGGAAGAGAAGTCCCTCGCCCACTGTCAGGCTCGTTATTCTACTTAGCACCTTGTTATATACAACGAAATGTGTTCTATTGTGTATTGTCGCGCGATAAACTATCATTTACCCGTTGACGGCGCGCGCGACGAGTTGTTCCTAATTTTATTTAAGATTCATTGTCTTGTCGCATCCTGCTCATCGGACTGATCTCTCAAGACATGCCATTTCTACGAACTACTCTGAGTAATTTCACGTCAATGTAAAATTGTAATCGTACGAAAAAATGTGGAAATAAAATTCCGAAATCACTGAAGATATGTTTACATCATTCGTATAATGTCAGTTAAATAGATTATTATATATTTAAACTAAATCAGTGGATATTATTATTTATTAGTAAAAAGACCAACTTTTTGTTATAATGATTATCGCAATAATGTTTCTAAATATAATATACAAAAAATATGCCTCAGAGTCTAGCGACCTTTCGGCTTTAAAACGATCTTGGAGCTTTATTTCTAACAAAGATCTTTCCGTATCTCGAACGGCCATTTAATTAGGACCACTTTATTTTGCTCCAGCCTTTTGTCTCCGGCTGACTTTTCCTCCCGTCGTCCAAGTACTGCGAGACAGTGAGATACAATGGGAAGGAGAGGACGAGTCCCGAACTTTTTAATCTCTTACAAGAGGAAGTATACCCCTGCCCACTACAACGCGCTCGTATTTATCTCGTCTAAGAAGTTTCTTCCTGAATAATGCCGCGTGCGTATTTATTTGTCTGTGCGAGACGCTTGCATTCTCAAATTCGACAAGTCTGATTTTATCAAATTAAAAGAGAAAGAAATTCGTGGTAGTTCGAGAAAAGTTTCGTAGCCAAAATGTTTCTTTAATATTGAAACGACTTAAGAACTATTTTATTCTGTAAAAAAATTGTACTTGAATTGAAAAATTGTTTCTATTCAGAGACGTTTACGTTATTAAAGAAATATTTTATCTAAACAAAATTTTGGAAAAAGGCAACATTAAATTAAAAAAATAACATCGTACGCGCGCGCGCGAAAATACTTTTATAAAAATGATTAATAGATGTTTTAAGCGATTTTGTAGTGTTTCTTAAAATGTAAATTTAAAAATCTTCCTCCTCGATCCCTGACGTCCGGCATTATGATTCGAGAGAATATGCTGCCCGGGTAATGTTCCACGGTGCTTTTACTCGCAAAGTGAGGGTCGCCCTTAAGCACATGGTGCGTGCCTCCTCGGCCTTTCTCTCCCTTTCTCAACAATCCTCTCTCATTCTTGCCGCCAAGGCGACGTCGAATTAATAACATCCCACAGATTCGCGCGACGGGCATCTACTGTGTTAGGCGGGGTGTGAAAAATGGCTGAAAATCTGATATTCCGGATTAAAAACATTGAAATTCAAAACCCGTCCCTCCCGCATCATAAGCTTCCGCGCGCGCTATAGGGAAGGAGGGTCGAGAAGTCGTTAAGGGTCAGTTTCAGCCGCATGCTGTGGTAACCGACCCCCGTTGGCCCACAACGATCCTCTCCCGTGCTCTCCGACAACCACCGTTCTACGAGGATATTATTTTTAAGCCCCCGCAACTCGCCAGCCCGAACCGCAATTTGACACAGACGCGCCGTTTGAATTCTGAATTCAATCGGCCGGGTCCGATCTCCGTCCCGATTCCGCGAAATTAAGGGTGGTTCGAAAATTGATAGCGTGGCTCGGAGGCATGTACGCGCACATGTTATGTGTACGTGCGAGTTTTACGAGCTGCCGTCACATGCTCGTGAAATTACCGTGAAGCTTCAAATCCTGTCGTCAGATTATTACGGATATATCTACAGCCTTATAATCATCTTATCCGTAGCTATAACCCGTCGAATTATATTAGCCTCGTTAAAGCCATGCTCTTTCGTTTTCTCATTTAAACATAAACTTCAATTTCTAAAATAACCGTATTACTATCGAGAACGTTTAAGTGAAAGAATTACGAAAATTTTTATTAACATAAAATAACATGAACTTTTCTGTGTGAAGATTTTAAAAAATATTAAAAGGTAATATATATTGTATTATTAAATATTAATTATAAAAAGAACATTTGCGAAAACACATGAAAAAATTAAATTTATAATTTTACATGAATGATGAATCTAGTAAAACATTAACTTTTCCGTAAACTTTATAGAATTCACTATATTTCAATTTTCCGAATGCTAAAACAAAATTCTTGTGCCAAGACAATGAACTGTAAGCCTTAATACCATGATGTCGATATATCTGTTTCAGAACCAAGGTGGCTACAGTGCTCGCAGTGTTCTCGACGGTTGTGCTCAGCATGGGAGCTCCTTCAGCATGTACAGAGCATGCACGGTGCCCGCCTCTACTGCTCCTCCTCCTCGTCGACGAACTCGTCGTCGAACACTCCGGCGCCTAGTCCACCGACGCCTACGCCGACGCACGCGCATCATTTAAGTCCGCCAAATCATCTAAATTTAAGCGGCAAGTCCACTGGAAGTTCCTCGGCAGCGAACTCTTCCGGCGGTACGAATACGAGTGGCAGTAGTGGTGGTCGACAACAACTTCAGACCTCGTCCTTGGTGGGCGATCCTCTTCATAGTTTTTTGAGGCTACCCCAACATTTGGAACGAAGTTTTCCGCCTATGTTCAGGCCCGACTTTCTTACTTTGAATCCCCTAGCGGGATATAGAGGTCTTCAGGAACTACAGACGGCCACGCGGAATCTGCAAAACCTGGGCGATCCGCTTCGCGGTATGGATGGTTTAAATCTGGGGGATCCACTGGTACGCAGCTCATTGGATTCCCTAAATAATGCCCGGAACCTGGCGAACCTGGCCGAACTGTCGCACGGCCGTGGCCTCGGAGGCCAAGCACACCCACCACCACTTGAAGCGAACCTGGATTTTTACTCAGCGCGCCTAAGGAGCCTCGCTAATCCGTCCTTAGGCGCGGCTCCACCTACACCTAGCGGTAATCCCACGACGAATCCCCCTCCTCCACCGGTACCATCAGTACCGCCAGTCCCTGTCGCCAGCAGTGTTCAACAACAGCAGCAACAACAGCAACAACAGTCACAGCAACAACAATCTCAGCCCCATTCACAGTCAGTGGAACCGCCTAGTCCAGCCTCAGCCAACCCCGCAAATTTAACCCACAGCACTCACCAAAAAGAAAACTCGCCGCCTTGTTACAGTCAGAGCCCTGTGGGTCATCATAACAATAATAATTCAACCGACAGCGAGAAGACTAGCCCGCCAGTAGCCTCTACGCCAATTATCACTGATTCTTCTTCGGAGACAGTGTACACATGCGAAATCTGTGACAAAAAATTTCGCTTCCAATCAAACTTGATCGTTCATCGTCGCAGTCATCGGGACAAGGAAAGGCAATACCAACAACAAGAAAGCACGCAAGACGGCCAGAGTACGCCGTCGAGATGCGAAATATGCGAGATTGAAGTAGCGAGCTTTACCGAATTGAGGAAACATATGAGAAAAGAGCACCAGGAGCACTTGAACTCGGCCGCCAGTCCGCAAGGCAGTGTTGAAACGGTGCCTGACGATGGGTCCAGCTGCGATGAAAACATGGACCTAGACGAGATGGAGGAGAACGAGCAGAAGAACGAACGGGAGGATGCAGAGGAAAATACACCAGAGGATCTAAGCACTACACAAGGACAGAACGGCGAGGAGAGCGGAGGTCGAGTGGAGAAACCGGCTAGCTTGGTGGGTGATCTCATGGAGAAATTTGGTCTGAGTAACATCGCTCAATACTCAGAAGCTTATCGACAAGCATTACAGGAAAATCATCGCAGCGGTTTCCTCAAAACTGAATCACCGTGCAACCTCACTAATACGCTCAACAATAACAAGGAGAAGGAAAGTGCTCTCTCGCCCACGAATTTTAACTCCTCAACAACGCCGAATATTTTTTCTGGCCAGGGATTTCCTAGGTCCTCAGGACCAGATTTCGGAGGTCTTTGGCTACCTAGTCCGCACTACCTGGAGAATAATGAGTTTCGTAAAGCAAGCAAAGCAACGACGTCCAGTTTATCGCTCCAGGGCTTGCCAAGTCCACTGATGAAGAAAGAGCGAAGCGGCCGAAATGACACTTGCGAGTATTGCGGTAAAGTTTTCAAGAACTGCTCAAATCTAACGGTACATAGGCGGTCGCATACCGGTGAGAAGCCGTACAAGTGCGAGCTCTGTTCATACGCATGCGCCCAGAGCTCGAAATTGACCAGGCACATGAAGACCCATGGCCGACACGGCAAGGACACGTATAAATGTCGCTTCTGTGAAATGCCATTTTCGGTGCCGAGCACATTGGAAAAACACATGAGAAAATGCGTAGTGGTGGTGCAACAGGGTCCCAAGTTGGATATTCCGTACCCAATAATCAAAGATGAAGACTCTTCACTTAGTAGTAAGGATACTTGATCCTGGAATGGAAGCCTACCGCCAATCCCACCGTTATGGCCACATAGGCCTTATCCGGTATACTGAAGATGAGGGATTCTTCAGGGACCTCGAGAGAAGAAGAGATGAACAATTCTGTGGGTCCCGCAAGACCGGATTTTATCGAGACGGCGCGACCTCAGAAGGATCTCTTGACACGAAATGTCCGAGGTCACCTCTTGGGATTAGGAGGGGTGGTAGGTCGATGCATGATCTTGAGAATCTCTGACCGATCGGCCTGGAAACGGCTGGTCGAGTCAACAAGTCGTAAAAAATTATCGAGAACTGAAAGATCTAGCGTAGCTGGAGTTTCGACTAAGTTCGAAGAAGAAAGAATCCTCGCGATCGCGAGGATTGGATGCAATCGTCAAGGCGATGTACAGGCGATGCGAAAAGGCAACATATAAAAAAGAAGGTACTCAACAAGAAACCTTACTCCGCGTTTTAACTCACTAGGAAACGAACGAATGGTTACCAGTTTGCGAGTCTCAGCACACACAGCTATTTAAATTATATATATCTCTATAAATATAGTTTATAAACGAGGGAAAAAGACACTATAAATATAAAGCTGCATATATATACACACAGATAAAAAAATGAATAAATATACATATATATATAAATATATAAATATATATAAATATAAAAAGAAATGCAAATACAAAGAATATAAATATTATAAATAAGATAACGAACAATAGTTCGTAAATTTATTATCGCATTTGAAGATTATTTATTTAATAATAGATATATATATACATATTGTATAACGTAATATATATATAAATATTATGAAAATCTGCACTGGCCGTGTATTATATAGGGACAAATTGGAAATGCAGTCTTTTTGTACATTACACGACGTCGCTTCGTAAGAACGCGTCAATGGAACCGACGCGTCTTTTTAAAATGCATCGATTTCCTTAGCACATAAGGAGAACTGGCAACTTCGATGATTCTGTATGTACATATTTAAAAACATCGATATTTGAACCACTGTTATATATATACATACATACATACATATATCAATATGTATAGGATAATTGAGAATATTTGATTTAAGTAATATATGATGAAAAGAGAAGCTAGTATCTATAAATTCTAGCTCGATCCTATGTACAATGTAATTATATCTATTATCGGCGACTCTATTACCTTTATTAATATTATTATTGCACTTATTATATTGTCTTTATTATTATTAATATTATTATTGTTTTGTAACATGATTATTATCGTCATTATTACTATTATTGCTATTATTATTATTACCATTATATTATTACATTTGTCACTATTATCACTACGGTTGCAGTGAGTTTAAGCGCCGCTTTCATTATTTTATTCCGATATTAAATTATTATCGCAGATGTTTTTAAAGGTTAAGGAAATGCCAAAGTTGTTTAGGTTTATAGCAGCTGATTTTGCATCGCGCGACGTGACCATCGAAGTAGAGGAATCGTTTAATCAGAAAAATTGTAGAAAATGCATTTCACTAAAGACTGTCATGATCGCAATCTAAACTGATAAATTAATCGATCCTACGGATAACCTTAAAAAATATTCGAATCGGGAGAATTCCTCCTTCGACGGTCACCTCGCAGCCACGTCGAAAATATCATCAGCGCGCTTTGTTCGTTGATTATATTTATTGTCGCCACGGTGTCGAACCGTGCTCGGCTTTCGCGGGATCGATACCAAATATTGATCCAGCGAAAATCGTCCCGCGGCCTGACCGAGGCGCAATCAGAATCGAATTTCCGTTTTCTCTCGTCCTCGTCCAAGACTGAGGCTTTCGGGCGACGCGACGATTGTTCTACAAGTTTTTCCGTTCCGTTTTAAGTAGCGAAATAATTTTTCTTTTTACTCTTCTTTTTGTTTTCCTCAACGACGCCTCGTCGACATAAACGTTTTCGAAGAGAACTGTTCCTAAAGAGAGAAATATATATATATATATATATATATATACGCGTAGGCAATAAGGTAAAAACGAAAATAACTTCGCGATACGTGAGAGGCGACGAAAGAATGCGAGTATCGATGTGATTGCGTGTCTTTATGTGATTTCATTGTGCGTGTTACCTTCTCGTTCCGGGGATAAATGTTGCGCGTGTGCGTGAAATCGATGGTGAGAACGCGAGAAAGCATAAAGGCGATTTAAAAAACTCATATCAGATAGTTCTCTCGGTGTTAGACGTGTACGGCCCTAGATAAAAAAAAATCTCTCGTTATCTAGTTAAAAGTTTGTTAGATTGATTCCTGAAATACGTACATGCCAGGCTCCGCGTTTATACAACATACTGTAAATAATGGCACTGCCCGTAGCGATGATTCGGAAGCAGAAAGAGAGCCGCATCGTCGAAAAGTTATTTAATGATCATAATAAAAAAAAAGATAAGTTTATGACGATTTTTTTTCTTTTTTTGTGCAACGACGTGTTTTGTCGTTCACAATGATTGTGAACGGAAATTGGATCTGAAACGATCGAGCGAGACATGGGGATGGATAATCCCCTTCGAGAATTCGCGGAATGAATGGAGAGAGAAAGAGAGCGAGAGAGAGAGAGAGAGAGAGAAATTTTTGATCGAGCACCGTGTGTAATCGACGAAATAAAAATTCTGCGGCACGTCACCATACACGAATACGCGTACTTTGATTTTGGAAAATTCTTCCTCCTTCTCTACTTCCTTTTTTTTATTCACGTTTATCCCACATAGGACCAAATTCCCTGCCTCACCGAAACAAAGGAGTGACATGTGTCAAATGCAAATCTCGCGGCGGGCGATCGGACCGGTGGGATGCGACGAGGACGATAACGAATTTAGGCGACACGGAAGAATATCCTTATGCTAGAGAGATATACGGTAAACGCTGTAGTCGTGATAAATTGTAATGAGAGTTCGATATGGAGATTGCCACCGGCAATTCCTGTTTCGTTCGCACCAATCGCGAAACAGCGTTTAATGTGTAATCTAAAATATGATATTGCACGGATTCCTCATTATCTCGATTAATTGACGTATTAATAATAAATTAATCTGATTGTCCCGTCGTATCCTCCGGTTGATTTCTAACGTTTCTACAGGGTAAACCACATAAAATGCTAAAAGATAATCCCAGAACGAACATCAGGAGTATAGTCGAGCAAAGTATCTAGGCAGTCGATATAATTTAAAGCTACGAAGTATTTCCTATAATTATAATAAGAGAGAGCGAACGGAAGAATTTTTTTCCATAGAGTCGATTACGGGAAAAAGAAATGCAAAAGGGAACGATAATATCGTTGCAGGGAAATTGGATTTTTAGGAAATCTTCTGATCCAGGGTAAATAAATCCGAAGCTCGGTTTCTAGGGACAGAATATGCGACCGGCATTGAACACTTTTAACCGAGGATCGACATTAAGGCAATACGAAAAATAAAAAAAAACCCAGGCATCTCCGAGTAAACTCCGGCCGAGGCTTGCGACAAACGTTGGCCGAGTTTTACCTCGCAGGGGTCCTAATTGTAAACATAGCAGATACGGTGTATGTCTTGTGCGATTCAAATAAACGACATTGTTTTTAAATAACCTATATTGTTTGAGTTCCTTTCATTCTTATTCTCTTGCCTACCTATCCTTCCAGTCTTAATGCCAATTGTGTAACGAATTAACCCTTATAGATATTGCTTATAGACGCTTCTTTGTAATTATATATACTCTATGTCTACTATACGTATGTTTCAAATTTTTAAATAAAAAAATAATTTATGAACAGTTTTGTGCTTTTCAACTTTTCGATATAATATCTTCGGAAGCAATAATAAATAATAATAACGGGTTTAAATCTTCAATTTAAACATAAAATTTTTATCAATTTTAATATATTTATAATTATCAATTTTTAACTTTCTAAAAAAGTCAAAATTTTTCGCGCGTGATGATAATCACACGCTTTTCTATATTTGTATTCGTGAAGTCATTTGTAATTAATTATATATTTTATAAGTTATCATGGTTAACCGATTCTTTGACAAATGAGAGACTCTTAATTATCTGTCTACGACATTAGTTTCCGATACGCGTCTGTCAAACGTGCGCGTAGAAAGCTCGTTACATAAATTGTTTAACTCGTCCCGAGTCACTATCATTCGCCGCCCATTGCATAATACGTTTCGCAACAGTTTAAAGCACGATTAAAATGAATTCATCACTTGTCGTTCTTGATAACAGAAGAAATATTCCAGCATTTTTTAATTTCGCTTTCAATAAATATAATTAAATATTCTATTGTAATAAATCTACTCATTATCAATACGATCTTTAATATTAGTTGTTTTATTGTAGTAAATCTACTCATTGTCAATATAATCTTTAATATTAGTTGATTTTTAAATTTATAATTTACAATTCGTAAATAAAATGTACAGAAAAAATGTATATATGTAACATTTTACTTATTTATACCGTCGCGTCGCTGAAAATCGTGTAACTGTTTAATAAGGAATCAATTGTGCCATCTAGCGTGAAGCTGTAACGATGCAAACGAAATCTCAGGTAAGGACAATCATGCTGCACCTAAACGGAAATACTCTTGTATATCGGGTTGCTCTTTCAAAGGCTTGCTTAAGGGTAGTTGGCTTATATTTTCGTTCATTTTTCAAAAATCAATTTCAATTTATAAAAAAAGTATAATAATACTTTAAATATATTCTTTCCCTTATATCTTTTTCTTTAATTTTATTATCAATAAAATTGTTGTGAATTAATAATTAGATAATAGATTAATTATATTTCTTATGTATCTACGAAACGATTATAATGCATAATATTTGACACACAATTTTAATAAATGCCATATGAGAAAATAAATTACTTTCACAAAGTATACAATATATTTATAACATAAGCATGTATTAAATTTATATGTACAAATTTGTAGAATTAAGCTTCCAAATAAGTTCTGTCTTTTTTTTGCTGAGAAAAAAAAAGAATTTTAATTTTCCATGTCGAATAA